GTCGACGTTTTGTTTCGTTTGCGGTCACTTGTCGTCGGGAGAGAGAGAAGGCGATGAAGCACGAAGGAATTCGGATGTCGGGGAAATATTGAAGAGGACTAGATTCAGTCGAGCGCCTACTAAAATTCTACAGCACGAGTAAGTTGTGTTTTAGTAATTAATTAGACAGATAATTAATTGGAACAGGGAAGAGTTGTTACTTTTTTTTATCAATAAAGTATCTTAGTAGGTATAAAATTGACACGAGTGTTATAGGACGAACTTAGTTAAAAGATATTTATGGAGAGAATTTCTTTTTAATTGACAGACATATCGTGTGCGTATACTTGTGTGCGCGCCATGCATATATATGTGTGTGTAAATATACGACATTTTTAATTGCACACACAGTCAAAATAAGATATATAATATATAGTACCAACGTTATACATATATATATAAAAAAAATGTATATAAGCTGATAGCACATTTTACAAAACGGGCTGCCAACTCAATGTCATGTGAGCCCCCTGCTATTTACATCAGTATCTATATTCTCTCCTCCATATACACACTATTTCCCGCGAGCGAGCTCTATCGTATCAAGGCTAAAACAGTAGGTAGAATGTTCCTTAAGTTTCAATGTTTTAACGCAACTAATTTACGATAATGTTACAGCAAAGTTATATTGCTTGGAGATCTCAATTACCGCCTTGCTGCTGGTTATGGCGACACCCGCGAGTTGCTAGAGAAGAATGATTGGCAAACGTTATTAGAGAGAGATCAGGTGAGAAATTAAGCAGGCACGCGGCCGCATGATACAATCTTTGTATTGACAAGAATTTTTTTTCATGAATTTTTAGCTTCATGATTTGTTTAATAAATATAATTATAGTTTAATTTCGTGTGCAGCTTAGAATTGAGCAGAGAGCTGGTCGAGTGCTGAAGGGATGGGAAGAAGGGAAGATAAATTTTGCTCCCACATACAAATACCTCCCAAACACTGATAGTTATGCCTTCACGAGAGCTGAACCAGGGGATAAACCAAGAACTCCAGCCTGGTAATTAAGCATTAACCCGTATTGTAACAAATTATATTTCGACCTTGGTTCAGTAGGAGCGAGTCAGAAAGATTGAGAAACAGAACCATCTAATTTGATCCTTGCGGTTTTATAGACTCTACCAATAATCTATAGACGAATACGTTGCTTCATCCAAACGTGTAAAAGATCATAGTCGCATTTAAAAGCAGAGTACTCGCTAAGTTACCCTCCATCTGAAAATAAACTAATTAGTAAAACTAAATGAGATTCTCATTTAATGATTGGGAAAATCAACTGGGTTCGTGCATGATTTATACTTACAATAACTCATGGCAAGTAAGGGATAACTGAAATAGTAATATCTGCAGTTTTTTTTCATGGAAACTACCTTTGAATTTTAGTTCATAAGTTTGTGCTGTAATCAACCACCTCCTAGTCAAATTTTCACTAAAATACCAATAATAATCTTTAAAAAATTCACGTTCAAGGTACATGACTTGTATCCTAGCCAGACGTAATCATTAACAAAATGAGTCGCGTGTCATATGAACCCTAGTTATTGTCCCTAGATGGGTCTCACTTGCACTTGGGTACCACACATATACTGAGAGTACATTGGTTTCATTTGGGTACACGATTAATTTGTAGGTAATAGTATCAATTAATTTCACATCCCCTTATTTTGGTAGTTAGGATAGGCTCAAACTGATCAACTGCGCCCACCGGCTCCTTCACCAAACAAGGACCCAGAAGATAAAATTAAGAAAACTAGACGTTACTCAGCGGAGTTGACCCAACACCGGTCAAATCTTGACCAGTCGTTATCCTCTTACCTCTGATTTTTTTTTAAAAAAATGCGGAATTTTGTCCTGAAATAATGATTCGTGCTTAATCTATGGCAGGTGTGACCGAATCCTATGGCGAGGAAACGGCATAAAACAAATATCGTACTCGAGAGAGGAGTCGCGGTTCTCAGATCACAGACCTGTTCGCTCTTTATTCACCATAGAAATTGATAATTATGACCACTACCTATCCCCGACCAAAATCATGAAGCCAGCAGAAGCACAGGCTAATGGTGGCAATAATGGCAACAGCGGCAGCTCATCATGCTCAAGAGTTCAGGCTGAGGAGCTGCTCGCTACAACGAGAACACAGGGCCGCTTGAGTTCGACGAGGTTCTGATCGAATTTCTGGGCAAAGAGTAGAAATGGTCCATGAATATTTAGTTTAGAAAAATGAGATAAAAAAGAACTCATGAGAAGAGAGCAATTAAAGTACGTCGCGTAGAGAGAGGGGAGAGAGTATTTCCTCTCTTTTTTTTATACCTCAAATGATTTACTCCCCTTTTCACAGAAATTTGTATAAAGTTCAATTCAATTTGACAAATGATATCATGAATGGAGGTTCAGAATTCAGAAACACGAGCAACTCCGAGAATAATATTCATGGATCAGCTAAAGGATTCAGCCGCTATGCAATTTGATGGTGAAACGACTATTTCTACAAAGCCGAGTTGACGAAAGAACCATAAATGCACAGATAACGCAAACCACATAATTTGATATCAAACTTTTGTTCTACAATGAGAGAGAGAGAGAGAGAGAGAGAGAGAGAGAGAGATGGCAATAAGGTTGAGGAATATTTTTTTTTTTTAAGGAAGAAAGAAATAGACATGATCACTTCTTCCAACACTGAAAAGGTTACATTGCAGACTAAAAGATACTTGAAAAGAATGATAAGGTATAAAATACAAGCAACCGGCAGCTTTTATCGTCACAATCTTCATTACAACACTACCTATAATAAGCAAATTAGTTCCTGATACCACCACTTAATTTTATCCTCTATAAAAGTTACGCGCAGCAAGATGATTTTGCTGCAGGTTGGGCATCGCCAGCAGCCTGATCCGGCTTGTTAATCTTGATCGTCTTATCCTGAAATACGAATGGTACAGATCCAACACCGTTGAGTCAAAAAGAAGGGTAAACTTCACAGAACACCCTAAGCTTCAGGGCGCTTTTTCAACAAAACCGTCTAGATTTTATATGTCGTAGAAACCTTACTGAACTTTCAAAATTATAATTCGCTCCCGATTGCAGCAATCGGAAAATCTCACAAACAGGGTTAGAATGTAGAGTTAAAACTTGAAACCATCTTTTTTCTTAGAATTTTTACCTATCTTACACAAAAAGGGTTAGTATTGAAGTTATACTTACTATATAGGAAAGTAAAATCTTAAATAACTGTTCTGTTAGTCGTGTTACATCAGTGAGACAAGTTCAGGGGGTTTATATGGTATATATAACTTTCAGAAAGGTTTGTGCAAAACCCCCTCAAAAGTCATGGAGGTTTTATGAAATATAATTGAGATTCTAGAAAAGTCTACTAAGTTGTATGATAAAACTCATACCTCGGCTTTGTTATCAGTTTCAGCAAGCCTTTGCTTAATATCTCTAGCAATCGAAAAGAAAACCTGCTCCACGTTAAGATTGGTCTTTGCACTCTGCAACATTCATATCATCCAGTAGAAAGCGAACAGGAGGGTTAACTACAGGTAAAGGGAGGGAATGAAAAAGAAATGACCAAGATTTTAACTTTCTTACAGTTTCAAAAAACTTGATGCCATATTCATCAGCAAGAGCTTGTCCCTTTGAAGTAGGCACGGCCTGAGAAAATACAGGTTATGCTAAAGCAAAGATCCAGAGAATGAAATGAAACTCATATAGGTGAAAGACAAGATTTTAATCATAATAAATTGATTGGTTCAAAGGACAATGATCGCAAAATTATTNTACTGTTTAGGGTCGTTGTCATCTTGTTGTTTTTTGGTGGTAAAGAACAGAGTGCTGCAGATAACATACCCTCTTGCTTTCGTCCATGTCAGCCTTATTGCCAACCAAGATTTTGTTGACATTGTCTGAAGCATGTTGTTCAATGTTCCTAATCCAATTCCTTATGTCTACATGATATAGTTCAGAGAGTTAGTATCATGCTATTTGAAAAATAAAAGATCTAAATTATATCATGTAAGTTAAGGTAAAGTAGAGATGATTACTGTTAAAAGATGACTCATCAGTAACATCATAAACAAGCAAAATACCCATGGCACCCCTATAGTACGCTGCAGAGAGGGAAAAATAAAAGTTTAAGCAGGAACTCTTCCAGCAATAGAAATAATAATTGGGAAAACTTACAAGTCCTCTATACATCATATGCAACAAAAATAAGAACAAATGTCAACATGTGTACCAGTTGTAATGGTTCGGAAACGCTCCTGGCCAGCTGTATCCCAGATTTGCAGCTTAATTCGTTTCCCATCCAACTCAATTGTTCTTATCTTAAAATCAATTCTGCATATTAGAAGCATATCACGTTAGAAACACAATCTCAGAATATGTTGTGCTAGCTAAAATAGGCACAAACCCACATAAAGACATGCAGTTTGTTTAACGAATATACAATCTTTCAAGTTTATAGAAAGCTAAGATGGCTTACAGTAGAACTCACCCAATGGTAGTAATGAAACTAGTAGTGAAGGAGCCATCTGAGAAACGCAAGAGAAGGCAACTCTTCCCCACACCTACAACAACAGTTGCACATCAAATGCTTGGAATAGCTTATGTCAATGTACATGATACTGATGCATAATCCTCTAAAGCAACATGGAAACACAGTGTATCCTCTTGGTTATACCAGAAAATAAAACATTAAAACAAACATCAATCAACCACATATGAATTGTTACTGTAACTTAAATTAGGTTAAAGCAAAAAAAAGAAGCGCCAAAAAAAAGGGTGTTGAGATTTGGACACAAAAGCCCAACAAAGTTTCAACCAGCTTAAGCTACTCAAACCGATACATTATTCTATATGTTATAGAAGTACATATAATAATTATTGTGCCACAAAAAGAAGTGTGAGACGCGACACTTCCTGGAAATATAGACACAATGACAAGGTGCACGTTTGTGTTTTATGAGGAATCTATTAAATATCTATATTAATGTTTAGAGCTGTTCCTCTATGTGAAAGAACTGAAGTAAAATAAAATGTCAAGTAGAGCAATCAAGAACCATAGATGCCAATTCATGAATATCCTTCAGGAAAATGAAGGTGGGCAGGTTAGTAAGTGAAGAAAACAAGTGCTATGACATGATTAATAAGCATAACATGATGGATAAATGAACATGCAAAACTTATTTGGGAAAAGCAATCCTACATGTAGTTAAATCAGAAACTGAACATATTAACAAATATAATTGGCATTCACTTTAAACTTTTAAACTTCATAAAATAAGCCTGTCCCAAGTCAGGTTTGAAGCATTATAAGTTAGGAGCTTAACTTGCCAGTTAACGTCATTTGATCAACCTGTGGCAAGCTTTCAGCTTAAGCACTTTCCCTCCTTACTGTTAACTTACCTATTAGTTCCTCAGCCTACAAGAGATTTCCAATCATTATCTGCCTCAGCTCATCGGTAGTTAATTTAATGCCACAAAATAATTCATGACAGCAACTTTTAGACCTCTTCATCTAAAATTACTGTTTCCTACTCCCGGTTATCAAACAAACCATGAGTCACATGCAACACAGTCCCAATGAGTACAATCAGTAATGCTTTTAAGTCAATGCTGATTTAGGGCCATTATTCTGTCATTATCATTCTCCAGCTACCTGTATAATTTCATTGGTTGTGTATCTTCCCACTTTCTGCCTTTGACAACAATCCATAATCTATTATGATTAAACCTCCATGGAGCTTCAGCTCATGAAATGATACTGTAATTACAATTAGCAGGGCCTTTGTATGTTATCCTTACATGTGTTATGTCAAGAGCAGTCCTGCCTGCAGTAAATCCATGAAAGAAAATCCTTCCAGCAAATGTCACGGAATCTCAAAGAATCACAGTTGGTTTGACATATAGCTGTATAGTTGGTTTGACATATAGCTGTATAGTTCAGAATTTCACAGATTCCAGGAATCAGATAGGATTCATTTTACTTGGTTGTTTATCGTTATTCTTATCCTTCCATTTATTCAGAATTTGAAATGGATTAGTCTTAGGGATCATTGGATTGCTTTGCTTTATGAACAAGATACCTAAACAAGAAATCAGGCATAACTACCAGCATTGAAAATTTTAGATATTCGGTGACCACTTTGAATCTGTGACTGTCAACCTAATCCCCTCTATAGAATCTTTTGTCCCTCTTCTATTCTTTTCACTTCTAATTCCTGTCTTTTCTACCACAAAAAAGGACAAACCTTTGTGTATCTCTACGAGTGCCATATTTGACACATCAAAAATAAATGTTAATTCACTTTATGATACTGGTAAACAGCAGCAATGAAACTCTAATGAATATTCCTGAGAGCCAATACCATAAGCATGGCATTTTTCAAGTATGAATAATCATAACAGGGAAATGGTCGGGGTTAGATAGACTAACCTTGAGTAAAGGATATAGACAATAATGTGATTTGTAAAATTATATTAATGGATAACGACAACAATCAATCCATTTTCAACAGATAAAGTCAAATATAAGTTATCTTAAAAAGGCTTCACTAGAATTCTACCAATAAGAGTTGAGTTTGGGTCCTATCAATTGAAGTACATGTTACAATTGCAAAACTAAACTCTTTTTAGATATGATCTATGATAATAAGCCTAAAAAGAAAAGACCATGCCATTTTAGGGTTTTTTTTAGCCCAAGAATTTAACATCCTATAAACTGAACAGCTTGAAGTAGCATTTGATCAAAAAATTAGCCCGAAGCTTCAAAATTAAAACTCTAATATTTAGATGTTATCCATGATATCTAAATGGAATTTTTTTATAAAAAAACATTTTAACTTTAAAAAAAATTCTCTACCCAACATCTCATAAAGTGAACAGATTGAATGCATATTGGACTAGGATCTGAAACTTCTGATTGAATCCTGATACATTGACCTCATTAAAAAATAAAAAAAAGTAATAAAAACCTTCATACCAAAATTTTCTCATGTTAGATACCTAACTTGCTATTCAAACCCCTCCATTTTAATGCCGCTTGCTGCACAGGTAAGAAATCATTTTGCATTTTGTTTTTAAAAACTTCAAATAATTTAAATCATGGTTAGAAGTTTGAACCTTCAGTTGCAAAATATATGATCTTGAAGTGATAGGATAAAAGATCAACTCCTATTGATATGGTTCCAGTCAAATATGTTAAATTTTAGTGCCCAATTATCAATTTCAAGTACCAAGTAAATGTATCATGGTTTAATCTCCTGATTCGCCAAATGCCAAAAAAGATGAACAAGGGATGAAAATTCATGACATTCAATAAAATAATACGTAGTGTATGTGTGCATAAAAATGAAGACTTAATACATAAAGGATACTTAGGATACCCTACGCTAATTGTTGCATGATGAAACCTAGGATATTTAAGATAACCCATCCTAACCTTCTCTTCAACTGGAAGCGTGAGATATTTGGGATCCCAATGAGCCTCTTGATAAACACTTCTACCCTCTTTGATCTGCTCCATTTAATTTATAAACTTAAACAGTAGCAAAAAAGTAAACCTGCGCACCAAATTCCCAATGACCGGGAGAACAGTAGTCTTTTGTTGGGAGGAGGAAGAAGATAAAAGGAAGAGATCTATCATAGTAGCAATGATATAATCTCTGAGGTAGCACGAAAAAACAGCCACCTGAATTCTTATCCACGTAAAACTTTGGCTACTGAGCACAGCAACCTGAATTCAACACAAGTTCATAGGGAGAATCCTATATCTTTAGACATGGTAATGATCCCCACTCCCAGAAAATGCAATAATGCGTATCTATACATCATAGTAATAGCAATCCTCAGGTTCTAATTCGATCAACACCATATCATGCATTACGAGCCTAGAAATGTGTAACTATCACTATGAGGGAACACATGAAAATGAAAATTTGACAGCAAATAAGTACCAAAATTGGCCTCTCTCAATATGAAGATGAAAACAGATTAGGAAATAAGAGAAAGATCCAAACACCACCCAATCATTCATAAATTGGATTGTTATCATACAAATTATAGAAAAAGGCATCATTTGGGATCCCTAAATCTCAAGGTCAAACTCCAAATCTTCCCCAAAACCCTAGGGCACAAACCTAAAAAGCTAACGCGAGGCACAAGACATCAGAACAAAGCAACAAAAATTTTTTTTTCCCGATCCCTAATCAATCAACAAGCTTAACCAGATCAAATCGAGACACCGAAACTACGAGATCCAAATCCATTGCACTAATTCCTAAACAAAAGAGAACCTCGAAACCCTTACCGCTGTCGCCGATCAAAAGAAGCTTGATCAGGTAATCATAGTCAGCACGAGCCCTCGCAGGTGGAGCAGCCATTGACGAGGTCGAGGTCGAGGTCGAGATCGATCGATGAGATCTCAAACCCTAATCCGATCTCTGCAATAAATTATCAAATAAATCAAGCAAAATCGAGAAAAAAAAAATAAAGAGTAAAGATGTAAAAAGTACCAGATCGCACGAAGAGCGAAGGAGATTGAAAGAGAGAAAAAAAAAGAGAGAATTAAGAGAAGGAGGGAGCCAGTTATGTGCGGTAAGATTACCGCCCGGTGAATTGAAGAGGCTATTATTTTTGGGTGAATGATTGAAAGTTTGGAAGCTAAGCAAAGATAAAATACCTATGACACTCCGCGGGGGCGCCAGTTGGCCGGTGACCGTACCCTTGTGACTGGTTCTAATTTTATAGAACTTTATGTATAGAGAAGTGGATGACTGATAGTGAAAGGCTTGATAATTGATGGCAATATAAATAAAAAATATGTAGATGCAAACATTTTTCTAAGTCTTATGACTCGGCTTGATGAATTGGCCGTGACAAGGATTTGTGATATTTTTTTTCCTTAAATAAGGATTATATTAAGGTTCATAAGCTTCTTTTTGCTAGGAAGTAGAAAAAAATGGTTCCTCAGCTTTCTTTGTAAATCCTTGTGCATTCCTTTGACATGTGGAAAATTATGGTTTTCGTTTGGCTAACGTGGTGTTTTTCTAAAATAACACCATAGCATTTTGTTTCTCACCCCTAAAGTATTTGCAAAACATCATGATAAGTATTTTCAGACAACATTAGTTTAATTTATAATGTTAGTTTTCTATAAAATTTACTTTACATTATTATATATTTGGAATAAAATTATTAAATTATTTAGTTTTAAATATAATAAAATACATTATATTAAAATGCATTATAATATTAATTTGAATATTATAATGTGTTTTTATATTATAATATATTACTTAACATCACTATATTTATTATTAAATTTAAATATAATACAATATATTGTGTTATAATATTAATATGATATTATATTTATTGCATATTATTTTCAATTAGTCATATACTTAATTAAATTATATAATATTATTAAATAGCATTATGTTACCATTTATGTAACATTAGACTATTTTTAATATAACAAATATTATTTTTCTAATATAATATAATATTATTATTTGTAATTAATCTTTAACATTGTAAAATATATTATAGATTTTAATATATTATAATTTATTAATAAGACTTAATAATATGATAATAATTTATGATATAAATATATATCATTATATTATGAATACATTATTATTACATTCGTATTTGTTACCAATATATTATTGTATTATATAATAAATTACTTTACTGTATAATTATTTATTATGTAATATAGCATATATTTATTATATTATTATTTTATTTTAGATATATTGCTCTTATATACTATTTTATAATTATTAATATATTATATTTTATTTATGAAAATATTAACAATATTATAATACATTTTTATTGTATATTACTATTATTATATTATTATTAATTATAAATAATTTATTGTGTAGTATTTTGTATTAATATATTTATATCTTTTGTTATTTATTATCATATTGTTTTAATTATACTATAATAAAATACATTCAACGTATTAAATGATAATATTTAATATGTTATTATAGTATTATATAATATATTTGAATTAGTAAACGTTTTATTGTATTTAATAAATATTACCAATATATAACATAAAACATAATATAATATTCATGTTGATAATAAATTATATTAATTACATATGATTATGTTAGATATTTTATTAATATTACGTCAAACTCAAAGACAAAATGTCCAAAATGTTTCTAAAATAAGTATTTTTTTTTTTTGTTTAAGGAGTTTTTGGCTCAAAAAATATTATGGTTTCCAAATGTATTGTGTTTTATTTTTGGCAAAAACATGATAGAAATAATAAAACATCATGATATCCAAACTCTATCTAATAAAAGATTAATGTTTTCTTTTTTAGTTTTATGTGTGAAGAACTTTGGCTTAGTACTTGTTAAGTAAACCGCGCCACTTAAGGCCTTCCTTTCACAATCCAAGCCTAAAAAAAGGTCACAAACGTTCCAATAGGGGTGTCCAAAAAGCCCGGAGCCCGGGCCCGGCCCGGGCCCGGAAACCCGAGCAAAACCCGGGTCCGGGCCCGGGCCCGGAACAGTGCCCAAAAATGGGCACTGGGCTTCGAATGGCCGGGCCGGCCATAACGGTCACAGACGTGACCGTTGCCCGGTCCGGGCCGGGCTATGAAGAGCAACATGCAACTCCTACCGATCCAGAGATGAGTCCTCCTACAACAACTCCTCATCCTACCGGTGTTAATCCTGAATCTGGTGGCGACGAATCTACGGCACCAAGAGCTCCAAAAAGGCCGAGGTCTGATGTATGGAATTTTTTTGAGAAGATAGACGTCACCAAGGATGAACACGGTAGGATCATCTCTCAGAATGCGAAATGTGCGTTGTGCGGCCAGATATTCAAAGCTCATCATAAGAGCGGCACCAACCATCTCAAACGGCATATTGAAAAACACAACAAAGGCCAAAATCTACAAGGTGATATCCGGCAGTCTATGCTTTCCCAATCATCCTCTTCAGGTACCCTCGGCAGTTGGAATTATGACGCTGCCCGAGCCCGGAAATGCGTAATCAGGTTTATTGTTCTTAAAAACCTTCCTTTTAAATTAGTAGAAGATGATGAATTTGAAGATTTGTTTAGAGATGGTTTTTATCCTGCATTTACAAAATTTTCTCGTCAAACCTGTCAACGTGATATTTTAAAATATTATGTTGAGGAACAGGGAAAAATAATTTCTTATTTTAAAAATTTAAACTGCAAATTTTCTTTAACTTCTGATATTTGGTCATCTAGAGTGCAAACTGGTTATTTATGTATAACAGCACACTGGATTGATGAAAGTTGGAAAATGTTTAAAAGAGTTGTTTCTTTTATTGCAATTGAAGAGTCACACACTGGTATTAATGTTGCAAATTTAATTGTTGAAGAACTTATGAAACTAGAAATTGATCAAAGAATATTTACTCTTTCACTAGATAATGCAAGTAATAATAATGTAGCTGTTGATTTTCTGAAAATAACTTTGTCATTGCCATGTCATGGTGAGCTTTTTCATGTTAGATGTATCTGTCATATTTTAAATTTAATTGTTCAAAGTGCATTTTCTGAAATTAAACCCATGATAGAAAAAGTTAGAACAGTTACTAATATGCATAATGCTTCTGAAATGAGAATTAAAAGATGGAAACAATGTTGTAAAAGAAAAAATTATAAGCCTAGACTAATTCCAAAAGATGTTGACCATAGGTGGAATTCCACCTATGCAATGTTATCTGTAGCAATAGAATATAAAGAAATTATAAATGATTTTATAAATTTTTATGCTTCTAGTTCTAGCTCTGGTAGTGCTTATGGAATAACTGAAGATGAATGGACAGTTATATGTAAATTAAATGAGATGTTACAAGTTTTTTATGATGCTACTATGTTATTATCTGGTTGTTATTATCCAACTATTACTTTAGTTGCTTTACAAATTTTAAATATTCAAAAATTTTTTACAAAATATCGTATGGATGATATTTTTGGAAACATAATTTTTCAAATGGAAAGAAAATTTAATAAGTATTTTAGGCCTATTCCTCATATTTTTGGTATTGGTGTTCTTATTGATCCATGCTTGAAGGAAATTGGCCTTCGAAGTTTGTTACAATCATTGTATGGTGGACAGATTATAGACTTAGATGATGGATCCACCCTTACTGCTACTACTCATTATTTAGCTATTAGAAATTATTTTCAAACCTTATATGATGAATATGCAGCTAGATATGGTGTAGCTACACAACAGTCTTCAGCTTCGGCACCTTCAGCTTCGAGCACAGGTCGAGGTAAAAGTGTAAGTTTTGATAGGTATGCAATGGTAGCTGAACTAACTGGTGGATCTGGAACTTCATCAGGATTAGATGTTTCTGAAATAGATGAATATTTTTCTGCTTCTTTAGTTAGATGTCAAGGAAATGCTTTAGATATTTTGCAATGGTGGAAAGTATATGGATCAGTTTCATATCCTATACTTTCCACCATGGTTCGTGACTTACTATCAGTGCAGGTTTCGACTGTAGCCTCGGAATCCGCTTTCAGCACAGCAGGACGTTTGATCGACGACCACAGGACATGCTTAGATCCGTATACTGTACAAGCGGTGATGTGCTTACAGGATTGGTGGAGATACGAGAAGCGAACACAAAGCATCGAACGGATTGCTATGATTGAAGATAAATTTGAAGAGTTGGGACTAGCAGATAGATATAATGATTAGATAATATTCATAAAATTGTAATTTTTATTTCTTAGCTTTAAATTTGAATTAAATTATTGCGAAAAAAGTTGCAAATGATAGTGATATGGGTGAGTAGGTGCCAACCTAGTTGGGATGTACTCATCTATTGTGATGCGACGAATTTCGAAATAAATTTATACTTGTAAAGGATTTACCGATTATTAATAAAGAAGTTATTTTTATCATTTTTGTACTTGTAATTTATGTCATTTCATTTCAAGTTATTAATTACATTTATGACATTTTTTATAATAATTTATGATTTATGGTTTTGTTAAAATAATTTATGATTTATGGTTTTGTTAAAATTTTAAAAAAATAAAAAAAAACAATAAAAAATTTCTTAAAAAAAATCAAACCGGACCGGCCCCGTGTCCGGCCTGCTCAGGCCCGGGCCCGGGCCCGGGTCCGGGCTTGGGTTTTGCCCGGCCCGGATGGACAGCCCTACGTTCCAATACTTAATAATTGAAATTTGGGATAGACATGACATAGACACGAATCAACCTTTAACATTTTCAGGCAAGACCCCAACCACTAGGCCACTTGTGAGGGGTTCTATCATTGCTTTCTCATAATAGAGATGTTGTTTCTTAATAATCAGCAAAAAATTGGTTAAGTATTTGTTATGATTGATTAATTTGTTCTGATCCAATTCGAACACAATTCACTTGATCATGATATATTAAAATTTATGTTGGTCAATTTATTTTACTCTAAAACATATTTTGTATTTAACGAGGTCTTTCGGTTGGAAGGAGCTCCTGATGACATATTTTTCACATATTTAGCAAACTTTCCAGAGGCAGCTCAATAGGTTATATGGCAAGTCTGGATTTGATTCCCATGCGCGTCAAAAGCGCAATAAAAAAACCCATCCAATTTCTTACTTCTCCCACCCTTAATTTCAAATAATCTCATTCTTCTTTTTCCTTAAATATTCATATCTATCTTTAAAAATGGTTTAAGTTGTTCATTACGTATCCTTCTTTATTTATTACAATTATAGCTACAGTAAATATATAAAAAATTCAAAAATAATTTAGAAATCCTTAATTAATTGTAGACGCTAGTTTACATAATTTTATCGTTTCAATTTGTAGACTACACATCCTCCGCATGCGACGGATGGTTCTGAACCACTCGCTGGGGGAGGAAAATTACAACTTTGCCCCTCCCTATTTAGCGCAGGTAAAGACAGGCACTGTTTGGCAACCAAAAAAAGTGTCTTATCTAAGAGCTTGTGTCTTATTGACTTGGTCAATAAGCTGGTAGAGCTGTTTGGTGACCAAAAATAGGAGGATATTATTTTGGAGATTGTGTCTTTTACAAGTAGCTTTTGAAAAGTTATCTCAAGTAGCGTTTGTCTTTGAGAAGAAGCTGTCAATTTTTTCTTCCGTTTTTGCCCCTAATAATTCTAATTTTATATCAATATTATTGCATGGCCTTTTTAGTCATTTAACAAATTTAAGCTAATTGTACAGCTTCTTTTGCCAAACAACTCTAGTCAATCAGCTAGCTACACAGCTATCAGCTTTCAGCTATAATTTCACAGCTTTCAGCTAGCTTGACAGCTTTCAGCTATAATCTCGCAGCTTTCAGCTAGTTTTGCCAAACAGAGCCAAAAGCGCCCCGCTTCGCACCCCGACGGTTCTAATAGGGATAATACTCTTTATTGCGTTGAGAGTCAAAAAGGTAATTTTACTTATTTATTTATTTATTATTTTTCGTGTGATTGGTCCATCGCTGCCTCCTAATTAATTAATTCCTTGTGCTCTCACAACGCACTAGATTATTAGTCAAATGGAAAAAAAATCAGCGTGATAATATTTTTTAATGTGATTTAATAAGGGAGCCAAGGACAATTAACATTAGACAAAGGACCCACGAAGCCCACTCCTCAACCGGAAGTCGCTTATGGCTTTTATCAGTTGGGTTGGGTTTCCTGCTCTTTAAAGGCTGCATGGCCTACTTAATTTCTAAGTTTTTTTATGCCTTAAGTGCACTTAAATACACTATTGTTTTCTCTACTTTCTAACGTATACACACCTCAATTTTTATTTATAGCGCTTGTTATCTTTTTTTTTTGAAATTAGTACCTTAATATTCTCAGTATGCAATGCGAAAATGTTTCCTTAAAAATTCTCATGTAATACTCGCATGCTAGTTTATAACATTACATAATATATTTAATAGATACATATTTAAGTATACAAATTAGCATCACAATTCTAATTCAAATAGCCCGTGAGCATCAACGTCAATCCGAAGGATCCACCATTTTATGAGAAAGTCCAACCCAAAAATTTAAATATGGTACTTAAAAAAAAAAACCAGGCTGTAACTAGAAAGAAAAGCTCTAGTCTAAATCCAAATCTTAGAATATCATATATTCTTAGATAATTGTGGTAGTTGTACCAAAAATAATTGCCGAGGGAATAACACTCCTTGAACATATTCACTTCTCGAGAGGGAGAGTCATTTTTAGTTTTTAAGTGATTCATTAAAAATTCTCGCACTCAACAAAAGGACTTAAGGGCGTGTTTGGGTGAAGGTTTTGGCCTCGGGTCTTAGACAGAAAGCCTGCTAAAACGTCTTTAAAAGAAGCGTTTTGGGCAGAAGCATACCAAAACTGACGTCTTGACATGTTTTCTGCTGACAAAAAACTTGTTTTTTTTTTCAACCAAACGGGCCCTAAATATCCCTTTTGCACGCAACAGGGTGAAACTGCACTATTTTAATTTTCTTGCCCAGGTTACCGCCAAAACTCGGCTTGTTCCGACCCACGCTAAAAAGCCCAGTTGGCCTGCAATCAGCTCTCACGTGAAAACCACGTGAGTAACCATCACCCCTCATCCCCTCGCAAAAAAGAAAACCCCAAATCCTCTCCTAAACCCCCCCATCAATAAAAAAAAACCTCCCCAGAACCCTAACCCTAAACAAGCATAATGTCCTCAAACGACGGCTCCGCCGCCTCCTCCGCCGCCGGCGCCGCTATCTCCGCCCTCCTTACCTCGACACCAACTCCTTCCTCTCCCAGAACCTCGACGACTTCCTCCTCCACTCCGACTCCGGCTCCGACTCCGACGCCGACGACCAGATCTCCGGCGATCTCGAGTCGAAGCACCGCAGGCTCGTCGCGAAGGAGGAGTCGAAGCTCGAGAAGGAGATCATCAAGATCATCAATTCAGGCGGCGGGGTTGAAACCCTAAAGCCGAACTCGGGTCAGTCGGTCTCGATCGGGGACCACAATATTTGCGTCGGGGTCCACGATGAGAAGGGGTCGGAGTACAGGGTTTGGGAGTGGCACGGGCATATTATGCTCTTTGATGAGGAGGATGGGTACTCGGCGGAGTATATTTATGGGAATTATTTTGAGAGGGTTGTTGAGAAGAAGGAGAAGAAGGGGAGGGACGAGGAGGAGGAGGAGGAGGATGGGAGTAAGGTGAAGGGGGAGGGGAATTCTGGGCTGAGGGATTTGATCGGGAGCGAGACGGAGAAGGGGGCGAGGGTCGTTCATCGGAATTCGCTGAATGCTGGGTTGTCCGCGGCAAAATGAATTGGGTAAAGGTTACGAATTTTCATGTGGATGAAAAAGCTATTATGCTCTGATAAGTGTTGCTTTTGAAGGGGAACATAACGTCAAGCTTGTCATATGTCTGGTTCTGGTTTTGTTATGCATGCTTTTGATATGTAAACTTGATTGCATGTTAACTTTGGGAAGGTTTTGAATTTAGTCTGTGATTTTGTTGGCTGCTATACGTGTTGTTTGTGGGCACGTTGCTCTTCATATACATTCTTATATTAGCGTCACATTTTAATTGGTATATAATATAACGAACTTCTCTTTGCTTTAAGACCCATAGTGATTTTCTTATATGCATAGATAAAAGCTTGATATGCTTTGATTTTTCGGTATCTATCTCGGGGATCAAGGGTGTTTGTGGATTGACCCTCTCGCTTAAAGGGGTATATTAATTCGGTTGGTACCTAAAGTTATGTTTCTTTAGGCTTGGTTTGGTAGGAGGTATGAGGAGGGAAGGTGAGGTAAGGTAAGCTCCAATGAGGTGTAAGGATGGACATGCCTTCTATGCTTCTTGTTTGGTTGGAGGGAGATTAAGGGGAAATATATGACTTTTTAGTTTAATTTTTTAGTTTCTCACCTCAGTCATGTGTCTTTCTCTCACATCACTATTCTGCCCATCCAAAATGGGGGATTTTCTCTCCCTTCACATTTTATTTCTTTTTGCATCCTCTCTTTCCTCACCTCACCTTCCCCTCTAAAACCCCCTACCAAAGAGGATTTTTAGTTTTGTCCCTCACCTTTCTCTACTTCCCCTCCTACCAAACCAAGCCAGTCTATAGGTTCTCGAACGTTCTCTCTAATGGATTCCCTTAATATCTCACTGAATCATCACCAATAAAACAATTTGCTCTTAACCCTCGGTTTAGTGTCAAAGGGCAAGTTCCTGCCTTCTGTCTGGCCCAAAAACATATCCCTTGGCAAGGCAGTCCATTTGCCTTCCTTATCTCGCTTTCCGCGTCTAGCGTCGATGCCCCGGTGGTTAGGCTGCTTGGTTTAGATTATTTTTCTAGATATCAATACAATGTTTGTGTTTGTTTCTTTGTGCGTGTGTACGGTGGGTACAGTTACAAATATGGATATTGTCTGGATATTGCTCACTAGCCATACTTGATAAGAATGGGTTCATGCTTGGATCAAATTCAGATACTATCAAGATACTATTGAGCGTGATGGAAGTTCGAAAGCAAATATGAGGTTAAGCTTGAATGTAATGTAAACGCTAGTGAATAAGATCTTTACAAATAAAATTTTATCACTAAATGATCTTTAATCTATGTCCAATTATATATGCCCTTGTATAATTGGATATTTCTTCGGATATATGGATAGTTGTTCCAAAGTTTTGGTTAGTCTAGAACTTTCCCTATTTAAAATGGATGAATGCAAATATCCGTATTAATGAAACTACGGATATTAACTACGGATATTTAACCGAGTTATTATCAGATCATTTATATCCGACTGTATCCTGTTATGCAGCTTATGCTCCAATAAGTGACAGGAAAAGTTTCTTCATTCTTCATCAGACAACATTTTTGTGCTGATAATTTGTTATTTGGAAGACAAAATCGTTAACATCCTCTGGTTGAAGTACAATGTGCTACGCTGACTCAGTGTGGGGTGTGGTGTTATTAGATAGCTGAAAAGTCCACTTATAAGGGGTAAGAGTTGTGTCTTATCTAATACGTACATGCAGTTAACCTCTTTCTTTCTTTTCTTTTTTTTGGGGTTGGGGTGGGGGTGGGGGGGGGAGCAGGTCTTCCCTCGTTGGGTCCACTAAAGTAAGAAAAGGAATTAAAGAAAGAAAGACAACCTGAATTTCAAGCTTGGTAGAAGCTGTGGTGAGACTCAATCAGTATCGATAAATGGTTAAGGAAGGTATGATGGACCTTTGAATAAGATATGACTGAATTTGACCATTCCCAATAAACTCGCCAATTATTGACTAGGTTAAAAAAGAGAAAATGAAAATGAAGTATTTCTACTTTCTTCATTCTTTTCTATGCGCAATATGAATATATCGTATAGCTTTGATCCTAGATTCAAGGTATAAGACAACGTGTGACACATTGTACTAGATTTTAAGTTTTGCTTCTTTTTGGTTTTCTTGTGCAGTTGCTATTATGCTTTGTGACACAACACCCGAGTATCCTTGGTAGAAGAAAGATGTTGTTGGTTCTGTATTAGTTCATCTCTAAAAGCAGCCATAAACAGGAAGTTTTCCATTTACTGGATTTAAATATGACTTTCTTATGTGACTTTCTTATGCAACAATTTAAAGCTTTGCAAAATTTTCGTATGTGACTTTCTTATGCAACAATCAACAATGTCAATATGCAAGTGTCATGTGTGTTTTGATCTTGTTAAATATAATAATTGACCTGAAGTCTTAAGCATATTTCTTTGTTGGGATTGTGAAATTATCAAAAAAGTTGGAAGGCTGAGTCACTGCTCAGCACAAACAGCCCATTTTCTTATGAGCATGAAGGCAGAAGTTTTCACAATTCATGAGACAAAGTTGAGCCTACATGGTATGATTAGATTTCACATTATCTTTCTTGGATGCATGTTAGCTTTGAGTAGCTCAGATGCCTTAAAGATGGAAAAGGACCCTTTTTACATGAATAGTGAATACATTAAACCATAACAATTAATGCATTTAAATTTTAAACATTTTTTATGAAACATGGTACAACAAGTTGTAGCGTGCTATTACTTGTGTTAAGTATATTTCTCAGATGCATGCTACCCGCATGTAGTGTCTGAAATGTTGTTTGGCCAAAATTCTTCCCACTTTGTGAAAGTGTTGATCAAAGTTTGACTCTTTTATTAACAGTTGGTGACTTGTTAGAAATGGACTAGTCTATATTCATATCAAGGGGGAATTTCTTGTGTAGTTATATGACATCATGCACTACTGTAGTTGGTTGTTTGATGCATTGGTCTGTTAGTCAGAGGCTCATAGTTTGAAGTAGTGAAGTTTGTCATTCATTGACTTACTTTACCTGATAACAGGAAATACTCACTGGAAGTTTCTCATGGTGCTCATCTTTAGGTTTTAGTTGAGCTTTTCCTTTCTAGTTGAGGTTGGATATCTGCATACAAATTAGTTATAGGAATTTTTTTGCCTAGATTAGTTATATTGCTGCCTTTAAAAAATACTTGGCATTGATTTAATGGAGAAAGTTATTGATCACTGTGAATGTTTGGAGTTTGATGTAAGTCATTCATTTAGTGAGCGAGTATAGTACGATGGCATGTCCAGTCCATCACAAGTTACAGAACCATACAAAGTGTGATTAACTTCTGTCCATGTGAATACTAAAGAATATGTAATTAAATTTTGTAAATGAAAATACAATGGTGCGATTAACTTGTGTATTTAGGAATGAGCTCATTCTTGAAAACCTTAAGATGTCAAAGAACCAACTATGTGATTAACCTGTGTCTGCTCACATATTCTTTCACTCTTCAGATTTTGAGTTAATCAGATACCATTGAAAGGTTTGTTAGATTGTCTATTATTCCTCTAATGATTTTTATATGTTGAGCAAGATGGAATTCCTACTGAAGTAACAGAACATCTTTTATTAATAAGGGCCTAGAATGCTATTTTACCTTCCATTTTCAGATCTAATGGTACACGTAGCTTCTGACAAGGATAGATTGAGATTAACTATTCACTCTGACGAGGATAGATTGAGATTAACTATTCACTCTGCGCTTGTGGTGTCCTTGCCTTGTTGAGTTGTATCTATCAAATATCCCCAAATTATCTATTCATCTTTATTGATATCTCCTAACTCTTATGTTGCTTTCTTTGTGTTCATGAGTTTTCGTGATTTTGCTTGCGTTTACGCCATTGTTCGTTCCACTTCTGAAAATGAACTCTGTCTCCTTTGCTTCCGTGCAAGATTTCACTCATATTTAGTCGAGCCACTTGAATGCATTCTGATGCTTTAGGAAAGAAATGTTTTCCATTTTCTCAGGGCATCAATGAGAACCGTCAAGTGGCAAGCTCGACGGGGAGGTAAGAGTCAGGGACTTGGACTGCATTCTCAGGATATCTTGATATGCAATGAGATCATCCAGTACTGGTTTTAGTGGTGAGAACACAATTGCATTTCTTTTGAGCTACGCTCTATGAATTTCCGATAAAGAGAAGAAGTTGGCATTATAGGGATCTGCTACTATTTTTTCCCCCTTTATTCATGGTCTGCATACTTGTCTGAAACTTATTTCTTCAGTTACTACAAAAGTAACTGGTTTCATCATAGTGTGTTTGTGTGTGCATATGCATTAGTACTTAACACGTAACTTCGCGCAAACTTATTATGTGATCAGTATTACAGGAAAGGCATGCAAATATGCTTCTATGCGTTAATCCTCTTCGCTTCGCGTAACTTCATCCTCTTTGTAGGAAAGTGATTTTCTATTGGGATGTCGTCCGCTCTGTTTCTGTGTGTGGTCGCGCATCCCGCTCCCCCCCCCCCCCCCCACCACCACCACCACCACCACCACCACAGCGCCCCTGCGCTCCTCATTTTATTTCAGTTGGTCATGACTGGTTTGGGTCAGGAGAGAACTGTGCATGGCGTAGGATGCTTTAGAATTCATGTGTGCATGCTTGTTGGCCATTGTAGGTTCATTTCTTGGTCAATATTGTCCTTGGTTAAGATGTTCTCCATTTGAACATGTGCATCTATCATTGGTAAAGGTTGGGACAGATGACGCTGCATGTTTGGATTTGATGAAAAGTATATTTGATGACACGAGGCATGAACGAGATAAAATGAGCAGGGAAATATTTGATTAGGGCGTTCACCCGATGAAGTGATTAAACCGGATCCATCAGGGACCTGAGCGGAGGTGCGATCGCAGGCCGTCTAAGAGAAAGAGTACATATCGACAAGGATCCCGTAGTTTCACATCTCAGCCGTCCGATATCAAGGGCTGTTCTTCAAATCAACGGACCAACATCGCAAGGTCGTTAGCCCGGGGCAAAAAATAGCCCTCAAATCACAACGCACCACTTCCTCCCATAAACCCAACAACCAGAAGGGTGGCCAAGGCCGCAGAGGAAACGACATAACGCCAAGGTTTTAAATATCGGTTATCGGGCGCTTATCGGACGGTCAAAATCCATATCGGATATCGGAGTTATATCGGGGATAAGTAGTATTTATCAGAGTGACATTACCAAATGGTAATATGCATAATGTAATAT